AATGAAATGAAAAAAAAAACAGATAACATGTGGTTTTATAGGCCAGAGAAGCATGGGGTCTCAAATTATTTTATGTGATTTTCACTTGAATAAAAGATATATCATCCACAGAAAATTCGAGAATTAGGATAGCTTTTTGATTGGCAGTTTGCATTTGTTGCTGCCATAGTGTGGCTTCTATGAACGAATTTACCTCCAACAATAACAACTACGATCATTCGGGTAGATTATAGGATATAGTTCGGTGAAATTAACTTCGCCAGTTTGTTTGCCAAACACCTTGAATAGGAGAAGTTAATGTCATGTTAAAGAATACAATCTGATGAAATTAGAATAGCATTGGAACAGTCAATGTCGTCGGATGGAATAAATGATATTCAGAAACTGCCAGAGATGTTTTCTCCAGCGCCATTGACATCAGTAACACAGTCTTTTTGTATACCTCCCCGAATTTATTTGATCCTGATAGCAAATTGCTTCTCGTCCAAATTGGATGTGTAGGTTTCGACTTTTCGAGATTTTATATCAGTATCGCAGAAATGAATAAAGGTATTACCACTGGAGCAAATTACTTTTTCCATACCTCCTCGTTTTTGTGATAATGATAGCAAATTTCTCCTTATACAAATTCCGCACTCCTACGATAAAAGCCTGATGATTGGATGTATAGATTTCAAGTTTCCAAGATTATGTATTAGGATTGCAGAAACGGCAAGAGATGTCGCCACTAATACCATTGCCATGAGCAGCAAAGTATCGTCACCGTACTCCTTCGCGTTTATGAGATCCTGATAACAAATTACTCCTTTTGTATTAGGTTTGCAGAAACGACAAGAGGTGTTCCTACCGGCGCCGGCACCTGGGTCGTAATATAAGGAACGAAGTATTTTCAATACCTTCTCGCGTTTCTGCGACCCTGATTGTAAATTGCGCCACTCCGATGTCTGGATGTGCGATTTTTGACTTCAGGTTTTGCATCAAGACGACGAGAGGTGTTTCGACCAAAGTCATCAATACCAGGGACAGAGTATTTTCTACCTCGCGTTTCTTCTCATACAAATCCGGCACTTGTGCAATGAACGTCTGATGACTGGATGTGCAAATTTCGGCTTTTCTAGAGTTTGTATTAGGATCGCAGAAATAATTAGAGTTCTCGCCATTAGACAGTGTCATTGATAGCAGAAATGGAGTATATTTGCGTACATCTTCACAAGTACGAGATGTTGATTGGTAGGGTAGACTAAATGGTACGATATCTAGGTTAAATTCCACCAGTGGGATTCGACTTTACAACCATGTGATACGAAACGGCTACCTCATACACAGCACTGAGGAGCCGACTCACCACCCATTTAATCACCTTCAGGGACCAGATGTCATTGACTTCGCGATATCTAGAAACTGTAGATTCAGTGTCACTTCTCGAATCATGTATGACATTTCGAGCGATCATCTTCCTATCATACTGGAAGTGGGTAATGAGCAAACCTTGGAAGGGGAAACTCTTCCAAGGAAAAGGGTTGATTGGGAGCTATACAAGTCGCTCCTTAGAGAGTTCCCCAATATCCCGATCATAGATGATGAGAACGATATAGAGGCTGCTCAAGCGGAGTGGACAAGTTCCGTTCAGCAAGCTCTGCAGCGTGCAGCTGTACTACCAGTACGACGACACGGCAGACCGTTTCGCCCTGCAGACATTCGTCAGAAAATTTCTGACAAAAGAGCTGCAATTAAGCAAGCGAAGAGGCCTTGTCACCCAGATGACATTCACAGAGCAACTAATCTTGTTCATGAAGTGAGAAAGGCTCTTCATGAATATCGTAATGAGCAATGGAGCGACTTTCTGTCGGGGATGCTTGACTCAAGTATTCCTCTCTGGAATGTTGCAAAGTCGCTCAGAAACGGAAAGCAAGAACAACTCCCGCACATCCACGGTCCTAAAGGCATAGTCTGTACGACAGAGGAAAAGGTCGAGGTTTTCGCTGATGCAATGGAAAGTCAGTTCTCTCCCAACTATGACCTTGATAATGACCTCGACGACGAGCAACATATTGTAGGATCCGTCAGGAGATATTTTAGGGCCAACGGCGTCAGTGGCAGTAGTTCCTCCCTTAGTGATTTTTCCTCAGAGGAATCTTCAGATGATTTCTCAATTGAAGAGCTGCACGGCACATCAGCGAGATCTCCTGAGACTCCGCATTGCACACCAGCAGAGCTCCAAGGTCATATTAAAGACCTCAAGGTGCGTAAAGCACCTGGAGAGGACCGAATTACTAATAAGGCGCTGAAGCTACTTTCGCGGAAGTCCTTAACTTATCTCGTGGCAATAATCAGTGCCATGCTAAGGACCCAGCACTTCCCAACGGCGTGGAAGACCGCTGATGTCATAATGATTCCAAAGAAGGTGGGTTCGATATTCCCTCAGGATTACCGCCCCATTAGTCTACTGTCAGCTCCTTCTAAGCTCGCTGAAAAGGTGATTCTACGTCACCTTGAAAATTTCTCGGCAGACCACAATGTGATTCCTGACGTGCAATTTGGCTTTCGGTCTGAGCATAGTACGGAGCTACAGGCCGTAAGGTTTGGTGAACGAGTAACCAGGGGGTTCACCCGTAACGAAAGTACTGGCATCTTGCTACTGGATGTCTCAAAGGCATTTGACAAGGTGTGGCACAAGGGCCTTCTCTACAAATTGATCCATAAGGGCTTCCCCTTCTGGCTCCTAAAACTTTTGAAATCCTTTCTCGAGGGTAGGAAATTTCGGAACAAAATTAATAACGTTCTGTCGACAACATGGCCCATCAAAGCCGGTGTCCCTCAGGGTTCGGTTCTTGGACTTTATTCACTTTTTATTCATGACGTCCCTTGCCCCAGCAGCTGTGAAACCTATCTCTATGCTGATGACATTGCCCTGGTGGCCCAGTCGTGCTCTGGGGATCTAGTTTACGACAGGCTGCAAAGTGCAGCGGACGAGGTATTGGAATGGGCGAATCGGTGGCTGATCAAAATTAATCATTCGAAAACGCAGGCAATCTATTGTACTAAAAAACGTAGCGGCGCCCCGTCTGAGGTTTCAGTGAATGGCGCTCGGGTACCATGGGAAAGCTCTGCTAAGTATCTCGGTATCACTCTTGACAAGGGGATAACCTGGCAGAAGCACACTGAAGCGTTAAAAACTAAATTCCAAATCTCGTTTCGGCAACTCTACCCTATGCTATGTAGAACATCAAAATTAAGTTTGATCAACAAAGTTCGACTGTACAAGATGGTTGTTAGACCAGCGATCACTTACGCAAGTGCGGCTTGGTGTTTTCTCGCCAAAACGCATTGGCGTAGCCTGCAGGTTTTGCAGAACAGAACCTTGCGTACAATCACTAACGCCCCATGGTATGTTTCCAACGAGACCATTCACAGAGACCTTGACATCCCTTACCTAAGGACTACATCAAACAACAAGCGCAGCTACGTTACAGTCAAGCAGAATCGCATGACAACTCTTTGTTGCGCGAGTCAGTAGACTACACAGTCGAGCAAGTTCGCAAGCACACAAGGCCGCGACTCGCACTGTGAACAAAATTAAATCGTGCGACTTTAGGTCCAACCAAAATTATAATTTTTCTTCAACAACCAATCCCAAAATTAATTTTAGGATCAATTTAAAATTGCCGAATACTAACTAGCAATGCCAAGGCACCCCTCAAATTGATACACTTCTTTTTTCTTTGCTCTCCCTCCTTCCTTCCTTCCTTCCTTTCTTCTTCCCTTCTTTCTCCCTGACTTTGTTTGGTATCTGGGCAACCAGACCTGACAGACCTACTGACTTACAAGACTTCAACCAAGAGCAAAGGTCCTACGGACCGCTCTGACAGACAATGACGAATAGTATGGTACGATAAAAAACTGATGATTAGATGTACAGATTTCAACTTTCAAGATTATGTATCAGGATTGCAGAAACCGCGATAGGTGTCGCTACTAATACCATTGCCACCAGCAGCAGAGCACCATTACCGTACTCCTTCGCGTTTATGATATCCTGATAACAAATTGCTCCTTCTGTATTAGGATTGCAGAAACGACAAGACGTGTTCGCGTCGACGCCTGTGTCGTAATATCAGGAACGAAGTACTTTCAATACCTTCTCGCGTTTCTGCAGTCCTGATCGTAAATTGCGCCTCTCCAATGTCTGGATGTGCGGTTTTTGGGTTTTTAAGATTTTGCATCAAGACGACGAGAGGTGTTTCGGCTAATGTCACCAATATCAGAAACAGAGAAATTTTTCCTTTCAAAAACCTGACACTTGCGCAATGAACGTCTGATGGATGGATTTCGACTTTTCTAGAGTTTGTACTAGGATAGCAGAAATGACAAAAGTTCTTCTCGCCAGTAGACAGTATATTTACGTACCTCTTTACCAGTGCGAGTTGTTGATTGGTAGGGTAGACTAAATGTTATAGTTTGCTGGAATACACTTTGCAAGTTTATTTGCAAACACCTCGAACAGGAGTAGTCAATGTCATTGAGTGGATTGAAGGAATACTCTGTCAAGTTTATTTGGGAAACAGCTTGAATGGGAGCATTAATGGAAACAGTCGAGTGAAATTAATTTGACTAGTTTATTCTGGCAAAGATCTCTAATGGGAATAGTCGAACAAAAATAGTCCAGTGAAATTAATTTTGCTTTTTTTTTAAAACATAAGAAAATCTTTTGTTGTTAGTTAGGGCTCTATTTGTCTGATTGAGCTTTATGTAGGCGGATAAGTCTTTCCCCATTACTGTCATTTTAGATGGTATACCTGAAGAAATGTATGTACCTCATCCCTTTAAACTTACACACTAAATATACGCTATCCCATCAATTTTGAAAATATATCTCCACCTAACCATGCGTGAAATACCTTCTAAAATTTCCTAAAATACAAATCTATAGATAGTGCAATTATTACGGAATAAAAAATACGTCAATCGATAACGGTGAATATTAACATTTTTATACTTACAGTGAGCTGATGGTACTTGAAGAGTGTTTCATTCGCTTTTCGATGTTTTCTGGAGAATACGGATTATTCTTCATCTCAATAGCATGTTTCCATTTTTCCTTTTCTCTTCTACTGTAGCTACCTGAAATCACAATATTTTGAGTCAAAAGCACTTGCCGCACTGATGATCCTTAATAAGGACAAATATTGCTGCGACTGACTGCCGGGATTGATGATATGTTAAAGTTTGTAATGTATAGCGTACCTGAGAATACCACGAAATCTTCCTTTGAGTCATCCCCAGGATCTTGAACTCCATTTTCTTTCATATTATCTGTTTGGTCCGTGCCATTTTGTTGTGGTGTGTTGGTCTGTTGCTTTGACTTTGCAATGAAGCTCTGCCAAAAAACAAAGTAAAATGTAGAATACAAGGCAGAAAAACTTGATGCAACAACAGTTTGAAATCCTAAATGTACGATAGTTAATAAATGCATTACGAAATAATATAAACATGAAAAAGTCCTACCTTGCTGATGGTGTAGGTACTGGAGACTTCATAATGGTTCTTGGAAGTGAACCATATTTCTCTGTATACTCTGCTACTTTCTCAGTATTACTGTATACTGACATAATCGACGCGTCTTCAACGTCTGCAACATGAATGAAACTGAAGGTAATATATGTTTACCTAATGCATGTTAATATTAAATAGAATCTAGATTACTTAGTAAGGTTCTCACGCTTTCAGCATCTGCATAAGAGAGGTCACTGTTTGGAGAAATGATTAACTTTGAATAGAAAAACTCAATTGGAATATTTAAAGTAAGTACGTTATAAATACACTATATTGCTACCGATAAATTTAAAGTTTGAAAAAATTCTTGCGTGTCTGCAATTTTGAGCTTTCGCTTAGATAAACAATCACTAAAGTTTTTTGAAAATACCACGCTCTCATGGAGCGCGAGTGCATACAGGGTATGGTAGCTGGACGCTTCCTGCCTAAAATGAGATTCTATAGTTTTGACCCTGGAAACGGATATAGTGGAAAATTTCACGCTCAGATGTGACCTTATATAAAAAGTATTTTGATCTTGATCATCCCTTATCAGGGCTGTGACTGAAAGTAAAATTGTTCCCAGTATTTGTTTCTGCAATACAAAGTACCATGCAAAAAAATGCCTAGGCCTTGAATTGACTCTCAAAGTCAAGGTAAAGGTCCAGGTGACTAGTGAAAATCGAGGAACGTCTAAGTCTGTTGACTTTAGGTTCTTATTTTTGCTTTATCTTCAGGATCCTCTCTTAAACCTTCTTTACAATGAAATCTTCCGAAGTGATGACCAGGACGTTTAAGGTCAAAATAACTTCCACCTAACGACATATCCGAACACAAAATGTTCACTTTATCCATTTCCGAGATCAAAAGTATAGAGGTCACAGTCAAGGTCAGTTTCAGGGTTACTACTGAAAATCCAGAGCAAAATCTAAGTCTATGTCGACTTTAGGCCCTTATTTTGGAATATATTCAGTAAGCTTCCTAAAATCTTCTTTACGGTGACCTTGGACGAAACCGTTAAGGTTAAACTCTTTTTCATCCAAGGTCATACTTGGACGGATATTTTCCACATCTGGTGCAAAGGTGTAAAGTAGCATTCAAGAAGATTGTCCTGACCTTGATTTGAAGGTCAAATATTAGGTTAAGGGTAGTTAAGGTCATAAAAATTGAAACATATGTTATATTCGAGTCCTTAATGATTTATCTTTAGAAAGATTTCTGAAATAATTTGAAACGATGATCTTGACCAGGACGTTATAGATCAAAATGACACAAGGTCATATATCTGAACCTAAAATGTTCACTATCCATTTCCGAAATCAAAAGTATAGGGTCCCATTGAAGAAATCATCTTGACCTTTATTTGACCCTCAAGATTACAGTAAAGGTCAGTTTCAAGGTCACCATAGAAAATCCAGGGAAAAATGCACGTCTCTGGCGACGTTAGGGGTTAAGTTTTGACTTATCTTTGGAAAATTCCCTGAAATCTTTACAGCGACCTTGTACAGAACCTTTAAGGTTTTCACTCAAGGATATATCTGGACTGAAAATCCAGAGCAAAATCTAAGCCTCTATCGACTTCAGGTCCTTATTTTGAAATATATTCAGCAAGTTTCTTAAAATCCTCTTTAGGGCGACCTTGGACGGAACCTTTGAGTCAAACTCTTTTTCCTCCAAGGTAATACTTGGATGGAAATTTTTCGCATCCGTTTCTGGGATGAAAGGTGTAAGATAGCAGTCAAGAAGATCGTATTGACCTTAATTTGACTGTCAAATATACAGTTGAGGGTGGTTTCAAGGTCACCAGCGAATAGCCAGAGAAAAATTGAAGTCTGTATTATACTCGAGTCCTTATTGCTTTATCTTTAGAAATATTTCTGAAATAATTTGAAACGATGATCTTGATCAAGACGTTGTAAGTTAAAATGACATTGACACAAGGTCATATATAAAGTGAAATGTTTGCTCTATCCGTTTCCCAGATCAAAAATATACGATCTGATTGAAAAAATCAGCTTGACCTTGATTTGACCCTCAAGATTACAGTAAACGTAAGTTTCAAGGTCACTAGTGAAAATCCACGTACAAATCCGAGTCTCTGTCGACGTTAGGCTTTTATGTTTGCCTTATCTTCAGATAATTCCCTGAAATCTACCTTACAGCGACCTTGAACAGAACCCTTAAGGTCAAATTTGTTTTCACTCAAAGCCACATCTGGACGAAACCTTTCCGCATCCGTTTCTGGGGTCAAAGGTAAAGGGTGATATTCAAGAGGATTATCTTGACCTTGCTTTGACCGTCAAGTATACAGTTAAGATCAATTGCAAGGTCAACAGCGAATAGTCAAAAAAAATAGAGCATCCTTTGTTTTTGAGTCAGTATTGCTTTATCCTTAGGAATATGTCTGAGATCGTTAAAACGACGATCCGGAATGAAGATTATGGGATAAAAATTGTCTTGACCTTGATATGACCTTTAATGACATGCTCAAGTTCACTGGATAGGTTAGGAAAAATCCTAGGCCAGGAGTACTTTCTGTTTTCTATAATTCTTGAATATTCTTAAATATTTTTTGATATACTGAAGCAGCGCCGTAGGCATAAGCCTAAATACCGGCGCACCGCGGCTGCTAAGGAGAGTCAAAAGAAACTTTTTTAATCCGATTTTTGAGCTAGGAAAAGCCCTTTCAGCTACATTGTTTGACAATCTCGATACCCTAGCGACAAAGAAGCAGTCGTAGCAGCCAGCTCTTTTACGAGACTTCTGATTCACCCACACAAAGGGGCAGTTATATTTTTTCTTATGAGTTAGAAAATGGTAATATTTTGACGATTTTTCTAAGAAAAAACTAATCTACTCTTAACTTACTGTCGTCGTCCACAGTGATGTCGGCTCTGGCGATGTGCCTGTTTGGGGTGTGTGTCCCGCTGGCGCTGCCGTCTACCTCTTTGACCCCGGAATCTCCGGAAGATTCCTCATCAGAATCACCGTTTACCAGGACGTTTTTCCCGCCAATCACCGTCTTCGATTCTATCAGCAGGCTGGTACGACCTGGTACTGACTCTGCCTCACCGTAATCGGAACCTGCGTCCGAAAGGTCGGACGTTTCGTCTATTTCTTTGTCGCCGATTAGTACCTGATTGCAAAAGTAGTTACTTTCAATTTGTTGTCTGTTTTATAGCCGCTTTACACAATCAAATAAATTCATGAATAAATTGTACGAAAAATTGATGAATAGGAAGGAAATAGGTAGCAAAATTACATGATCAAATTTATTCAAGTCAAGCATACCAACACATAGTAACTTCTTACAATACCAACCTGATAATGAACGTAATCAAGAAGAAGATGATGGAATACTGACATACTGATTGTTTCTGTTGAAATATTGAATCCTAAATTAAAACTAAACCGCTAAGTCAAACTGTAAGGATTATAATTTTAATTTTAAATCACAATTCGTGAACGCGTCAAATAACGGAGGTTGGTATCTAGGAAAAAGAACAAAATGTAAAGCATTAGTTCTCAAAAAATTGGCGGAAGATTATGTAACCGACCAAGATTATCAATTTCTAAATTCGCTGAAATAATTTTTCATGCCGCCTACCCTTGTAAGAACTCGTCGTATCCATAAAATTGAAATAAACATAAAAACTAAGGACAGAACGAACACGTAACATCTGCAACCCACCCAGCGAACGCCAAGGAAAGTGATAAATTGATATTTTAGAGAAAATATACAATAGAACCCGATGCAATGAAGTGGGACCTTTTGAATAAGAAAAAACATGGTTTGGAGATCTATTCTGTAATAATTTTTTTTGCTACTACTAAGAACTATAAAGTTCATAATCAAAGGGGCGCTGGGAAACTTGAAACTCAACCATTTGGTTAGCATATGTTAGAAGCTACCCTGAGCGCTGAATGGTCAAGCATCAGAGGCGTATTATGGGATACCTAAGACTTATGAAGTGCTAGCAAATTACTAATATATGTCATGACATGTGAAAAATTATGAAAAAGAGGAGAAAAACAGCTAGGACTTTTGTAGAATTTTCCCCTAGCTGATATGAATAGGTGCGCCAGGCTGGATACAATTCTACCTTCTGTCAACATACGCTTGGACAGATGCGGTTTGGAAATGATCATTAGAGAGAGGTATATGAAATCAACGAAAGTCTGCGTACAAGGGCGGATCCAGGATTTCGTCTAGGGGGGGGGGAGCGCGCAAACGATCTTTGGGTCTGGTAATTTTTCTACCTCAGTGGAACTTCTAGAATTTATCCTATTATTGCACCTTAAATTCATTGTGTTCTATCTGTTTAATGCCAACTTGAAAAAAAATTGGAAAGTGCTCAGAAATCCTCAGAAAGGCAATATTTTATTACATATATGAAAACAACAAAATTACGTGGCATTTGTAATTAGCTAGTGTAATAATATTAAAGATTAAAACATAAAAAACTTCATTGCTCTGACATTTTGAGGGACCCCGAGAACATATCCCAGCTATTCCACACAAAACAATGTCTTTGATGGCGAAAACGAACATGAGACCGAAAAATTCACATTATCGTATGGACTCTCGACGAGACAAAGTTGGATATCTATAGACCATCTATAGATCGTGTCTTGAGACCGTCTCCAGACTGCCTGTAGACAAATTGCTCAACGAGGTCTACTACTGTGTACTAAGCTTAAGGATTAATACTCTGAACTACCTGTTAAATAAATCAAGTAATTGGTGTAAATACTGACACAATCAAGCACTTCTATTATATCAGCAGGTGATAAAAATATCAATAGTTATAACCAATTAGTTTTTGAAATTCAATATAGATATTACGGTTATTCTTCAAACTTAGATTTACGGCATAGTTGTTGTTTTCTCAGTTTTCGAATCGGTGTTGATCGCATGTAAAGATGTTGGAAATCTTTGGAAAAAACTATATATGTTAGATCGTAATTATTTTGATAATGTATGTTTGTACGAAACAAGAACAGGAATACAGGGCTGTACATATTCACGTGTAGTGCAGAAGCTCTGTGACTTAAAGGAATTCCAATATAGCAACATAAATAGAAGCATACGCGGGAAGAAATGCGGGACCTGTGGAATTGACTTTGAGCATCGATCGACGCATTTTCTGGACAGGCTACTGGCGCACCGCTAAGCAAATCTCATAAATGTATATTTCCAATGTAGGCGTTCATCTAACATAGTCTAATCATATTAGCAAATTTCCCCGAAATAATTGCAAAGTCCGGTTTTATTGGTGCAAGTTGTTCAAGGGCGCATTTTAAACATGGACCCATAAAATGGTTACACCAATTTTTGTGGCAAAACTTTTTATTTGACAACAAAGAATGAGAAAACGTGTTTTTTGGGATTCGATCGAAAGTGTTAACAGGAACAAAAAAGCTTTTTATGTAAAAATTTTAAGTATTTATTAGACCTACAGAATGAGACTATACGTGAAAAGATCCGACTAACACCAAAAATGTTATGACCGAAAAAACAGGCAAAATGCAGGTTTGGCACTTGTTGTTAATGCGACGATAATTTTATGCAACTACTTGAAATTCTTCAAATCCGCAGGATTCATACTTCTGAATAACAACAGCAAAATTGGAGTATAATAGTCAAGTAGTTTTTTGAGAATTTCTAATTGTTTATCCCAAAACACCTGTTTTCCGGACATCACTACTAGTTTATTGAGCGATATACAGGATTAGTTCAAAGAGCATTTTACAGCAAAATACACTAATTGATTTTTCCGATATGAATTACAAACTATTCCGAAAGATAAATGTTATATTTATGCGAAAACAAAGGTTACGTTAGTTTCTTCAAAGCAAATTCAAATATTTCGTATTTGTGAGTAATTGAGCAAATACGCTACGATATTCGAAATACATACATCACTATACACATAAAATAAAGCGGATGTGTCTATCATCTTTTGTTGCGAGTTACTCACAAATTCGAAATGTTTGAATTTGTTTAGAAGAAAAACGTAACCCATCCTTTTTTGCATAAAAATAACATTTATCTTCCGGAATACTTTTCGATTCATATCGGCAAGCTAAACTATTGTATTTTGCTGTAAAATGCCCTTTGATATAACCAATGTATATTGCTCAAAAAAACTAATAGTGATGGCCGGATGTCTTGGGATAAACAATTAGAAAGTCTCACAAACTACTTGACCAATCTACTCCAATTTTGTTGTGTTTATTTAGTACCAATCCTACGAATTTGAGGAATTGCAAATATCTGCGAGAAACTGCCGCCGCATTACCAACATGTGCCAAGACCTGCAGTTTACCTCGGTTTTCGGTGATAACTTTTTTGCGATTAGTCGGATCTTTTCACGTGTGGCCTCATTCTGTAGGTCTCATAAATACCTAAAAATCTTACATAGAAAGTTTTTTCGATCCTGTCAATACTTTCGATTGAATTCCAAAAAACACATTTTCTCATTCTTTGTTGTCAAATAAAACGTTTTCCCACAAAAATTGGTGAACATATTTTATAGGTCCATGTTTTGAATACCCCCTTGAGCAACTTGCAGCAATAAAACCAGACTTTAGACTTATTTCGCAAACCAAGGGTATCTTCGTCTAATATGATTAGACTAATAGTGCTTCGCTGCAACACCAACCCCGAACAAAATCAGTCAAACTTTACACACTTTTCAAATTACTATTCAGCAACGAACAGAACATAAATTACTTTTTAAGTGCAATCTGTATAGCTAATATATTGCTTAGATTTATCACAAGTCACAATACTGAAGAAATCGTAATAATTGTGCTGTAAACGTCAGTGATGTCGAAGAGGGACAGCGTTTGGAATACCAAAGGATACCAAAAATCGCAGTGCTTAGTTCCTATAGCTATAACTTATAGTATAGTTAGTATGCATCTGTCGCTATGATGTGTCAGAAAACAACACAATGGTGTTAGATTACAAAAGCAAGTGTCAGACGTTTAGGGGGGGGCGCCCCTCGCACCCCCTCTAAATCCGCCACTGTCTGCGTAGTTCTAACGAAGCTAACTTTTGCTAAAATGCACCGAAAGTCACCGACATTTGTGAAAAATGATGAATGGGCATAGTAAACTGATCGAACAGATCGGTAAAATTATTATATTAAAGATTTGTTATTCTTGTATCTAAATTTTCCTTATGATTCTGAGAGATAACAGTAAGAATCTACGATTTAAAGGACTTACTTATGACTAACAGACTGGAGCGTATTTACGGGAAATCTGTCGCTGACATTTGTGAAAAATGGTGAAAGGCATACTAAACGGGCAAATTAAAAGATTCATTATTCTTGAATCTAGATTTTCTTATAATTTATAGAGATAATAGTAGACGTCTATGTTTTGAAGTACTTACTTATGACTACCAGACTGAAGCGTAGTCTCCAACATTTGTGAAAATGGTGAATGTGCATACTAAACTGATCAGGCATACTGGTAAGAAGCTTTATTAGATTTATTCCTCGATTTTTCCTATGATTCTGGGAGAGAATTTTAAAAGATATGATTTGTAGGACCATATTCGTAATTGTACTCAGCGCTCAAGCTGCTTAAGAGTGTCGTTCATTTGTAGAAACGAGAAACAAAAACTGACCCTTTCATACTGGAGCCGTATTCAGGCAAGATTTAAAAAAAAATGCAGTCCTCGAAAATGCGAATATTTGAGGGTGTGAATCTACATGAAAAATTAATGTTAGTTTGCTTTATAAACTATGGTCCAGAAATGTATCCTTACAAAAACTAGGGGTGTTGAACTTTTAGGAAAAAAAATGGAAATTAATTAATATTTTCAGAACCGCTTCAGATATTTCACTGATATTTAGTACGTGGTGGAAGTTAATAATGTTGCATATTTTTTAATGGAAAAATATATTTTAGCTTTAACAGTGGCGTGCGTACGGGTATTGACTTCGAGGTTTTTTAAGAAAAAAATGGTACGCCAATGGATATTTACCAAATTAAAATTATTCTTGAATACCCCGTTGAATTTGAAACAAAACATCTCTCCTGAATTGTTTTCTTTAGATGTGCCATGTTTGAGTAAAAAACCGTTCTATTGTCTAACTTGCAAAATTATTATTAATTCAAATGGAAAAATTAAACACATTAGGGGTAATGAACAACAACAACTGACAACACAAACATAACATTAAAACCAACAAAATGATTACACAAATTGTTGAATATGGCCCCCTTCACTTCGTGTGCATGCTTCCGCCCTCGCGCTCATGGAATTGCGCACTTGTTGAAATATCCCTGGAGTGTTTTTTATTCTATCACAAGCTGCAACTATTCTTTTTCTTAATTCCTCTACAGTGTTAATAGGACTTGTGTACACTTGTGTCTTAAGATACCCCACAAAAAGAAACATAAACTGTTGAGGTCTGGGGACCTTGGTGGCCATTCTTGGGGCCCACCGAGACCAATCCAACGATTTGGATAAACAGTTTGTAAATAACTACGAACCGCCACACTGAAATGCGCTGGTACACCATCATGCATGTACCACATATTGTTTCTTATTACTTACGGAACATCATCAAGCAGCAAAGGCAACTGTTGTTGAAGAAAACTGAGGTAAGTCTGTCGACTATCTGGCAAAGCACGTTCGGGATATCTCTGGTGATAAATCCACCTGGCAAGGCAAGGCCATATACGTAATGCATTTCTGCATTTGATTAATTCACCATTATTAACAAGAATGTTAAAACTAAATAATTTAAAAGATGTCACAGCGAACAGATTTGAATAACAGAAACTTGTCAGATGTCAAAAGTCACTGACATATTCCAGAGCAACTAGGTATTTATTGCTAAATTGCATTCTTCAATTATTACATTATTTTGCTCGGACAATGGAACGGTTTTTATTTTTTTACTCAAAAATGGCGCATCGAAGGAAAACAATTCAAGAGAGATTATTTGTTTTAAATTAAATGGGGAATTCAAAAATAATTTTTATTTGGCAAAAAACCGGTGAATCATTTTTTTCTTAAGAAATATCGAAGTCAATACCCGTACGCACGCCACTGTTAAAGCTAAAAGTCATTTTTGCATTGAAAAATATGCAACTTTATTAACTTTCATTACGTACTAAATATCAGTGAAAATCTTAAATTTAGTAATTTAAAAACTATTAGAAGAAGTATTAAAGTAAACTTCAAAACAAACCTTGGCTTCCGTAGTGGGATTAGGTACTAGCATCGGTACTGGCACTGGAGAATGGGTTCCTTGGAACTGTCGCTTCTGAAGGAACCAATTAGGCTCTTCTTCGCTCAGCAAGGACGAGTTTGTTCTGAAGTATTCACTGTCATCTTCATCATCCGACTCGCTGTGGGCAACTTCTTCGATATCTTGTTTTATCTGTTATAAAAGTAAAAAAATTAGCATGCCTTTACGCAGTATAAAGGTACATTGACAATTAAAAACAAAACTTTTCAATAATAATACTTACTTAAATGCCTATGAAGTTTCTTAATGGATATTTGACGAATATTTTTGATTTTTGACAATATTCAAATTTTTGTTATTCCATACTGTTTTTCGGGGTCGAAACTGGTATATTTTGCAATATTCCAAATATCACTTTTGTTGTAAAAATTATCAACTTTAGAGAAAGGTTCATGAATATATTTTTTTCAGAGTAACTTAATGCACCTAAAAAACTTTGTCCGAGGCGAAAAAGGCAATTTTTGAGCTTTGTTTAAAAATTTTTCAAAATTTTTTTGATGCAATTTTGGGTTTGGCGACATACAAATTCGTTGAAAGGGATCCCTTTTGAATAATATAATGTGAAGAAAAATAATCAGTATAATTTTACGAGCAGATGCGGAGATATTTCCTGGACTATATTTGAAGTTCGTATGTTGAATGAGGACCCATATAAATTTTTTTCGTGCGATGTTAACTTTTTTCGTTGTTTATTTCTAACTCCACCGTCAGTGGATCGACCTTCACAAACTAGCTTTTTCGTCCTCAACACTTTCCTTGAGTAAAGTAAAAAGTTAAAGTACTAAGATTATGCTTTTTGGGGGAATACTATTGATATTCCGTGGATATAAAAATTCTGGATTTTTTTTCAGATTACAACATTTTAGTTTTTTTTTGCGTACTGAGCTTGCTCCATAGAATCTCGTGACGTTAAAATAAGATCATCGTAAAATTACTATCTTTAAAGTAAAAAGTACCTTTTAGTTTCAAAATTAAAGTAGATAAAGTAAAATTTTCGCTTAGTTTAGTTGAAGTTTCGGTTGTCAAGTTTCAGTAAGAACCAAAAAATTTTGTTTGTAACCAATATTTTGCATTTTTCAATGTTAAACAGTACTATTAACAAACCATATATCGGAGCTGAGTATTCAGTGAAACAGGAATTGAAATTTATAGTATATATAGTACTTTTTGGGGAAGAATACTGATATTCCGAGGATAATTTTAACATTATAACAAATTCTCAAATCCTCACCGTAAGAGTGACCCTATCGACATATTTCTTGGATCCAAAACTTGAATCGCTGTGTATCCATTCTTCAAGACTGGATACTGAAGAGGTGTCTAGGTCTGTGGTCTTCCACTTATCCTCCAAGGTCTCTTCTCCGAAGAAATATTCTTTGACGCGTCTTCTTCTTGGAGTTGATGTTCTACTGGACAAACTGGCTGCTGATGAGCCTGGACGGGTATGCTGACCATTACTCACCACCTAGAGAAATGTCACGGAGACTGACTTGGCAGTTTTAAGAATTTTATAAAAATGATACAATAGCGAACATAAACGTTTTTTTGTATCTTCTATCTATTATTTACGTTATTATGATACCGTAATCACATATTTTATCATGGGAATGTGTTTTTTGGTTAAACATTTAAGAGTGAATACCAATGACCTTGATTTAAACGATGCATTTTTCGCGCGCATCGCAGTGACGTCACAACTCATGGTTTGTCACGATATTTTAAATTTGGTTAAAATTATTGTCATGTTTTGGGGTCAAGTTTGGAACGGTTCTATTTTCACGCTCTTCACAGTCACGTCACAACACATGATTTGTCATTTTATTCTTTGTTTGGCCCTTGCGATTTGCTGTCAAGTTTTGAAAGGTTCTATTTTCCTTTTGTCGATATCGTAACGTCACGTCAATGGCGTTGCATCTGCAGCGTATTTTGACCATTTTTTATCAATTAATACCGATATTTAAATCACATGCCTATTCCCGATTGGTGGTCGTTTAGTCTGAGTTTGTAAAACAATGATGAATTCTGAACCTGATCCTACAAACTAAAGACCAGCGGACTAACTTTGAGTGCCAATCACTTGTGTATTGAGACAGGTTGATGAGGATGGCCTAGACCTATTTAACAGGTTAATTTAAGAAAGGATAAAACTTTGATATTACCGAAAAAGGATACCTGTTTTTTAATGAATGCCATCTTAGATAAAGTGTATATGGATTATTTGTTTCTGAATTGATCTTTCTAGAAATGCACAAAATTAAAATGATACGAGAACATTGATTTTGGGGCATAAATTTTAATATTTTTAATGAACAACAATTAATCTGATAGCTCTTTTATACCGATATAGCGAAATGGCACAATACTAGTTCTATTTCCTTAGCTTTCAATCTGGCAATACCAATTTCAAAAAGATGAGAAAGAAGAAATGTATTTGTTAATTCTTTCAGGTCGTGTGATTGTTGTTCTTAGTACTACTAGATATCTGCTATGCCAAATTTTGGTTTGTTATTATTTCTTCTGATATCAAAAGCCCTGAAGATTGGATTAAAGGTCATCTAATTGAGAAATCAAGGTAGCATAACCCAAGAGAACCACAACTGTTACAATTTGTGATTCTTCCAAAAAAGTATGCAGTTAGAACGGTCTAAGGCATAACCCATTATACATATATTCCTAAATTATAAGCAACGGCATAAGCTCCTTAATCTAAGTAAAGTCTGGATGTTCACTGGAACTTTAGGTTCATTTTAAGTAGCGAGCATTGATGAACAATACGAAGATATCATACTACAAGATGCGTATTCTTAGTACAATGACGATGATCTCACCTTAACACTCAGCACGTTTGCTTTTCTATTAGATTTTCTTGCTACAACCGAAACAATCGCCATATTTATGTACTGTACAGTAAATTAAGTTTCCGTATCGATCTCACAAATGTATGTCTAGACTAAGAAACCATATAGTTTCTCCTTTAATTTACCTGCCTTCGACAGATGTATTTTTCAATAAATAATGTTAATCATAACGAGTTTCGATAATTATTCACTTTTTACAACTCAGGGTAAAATCGCCCTATACAGGGTGACTTTGAAGTCATTAATTTTCAGATAATGATAAGGAAGATAAACCAAAATATGTGTGTAAAAATAAAAAAAAAAATAAAAAAAAATGTTACCTTGTTTAATAAAGTATCCTCCCGACAAGTATTTCAGTGCGGACCTGTATTTGATCGTGCGGTCTTGGAGCAGCATGCCCTCACCTGTGAGGTCTTAAGTCACCTGATTCACGAGCCCTTTGCACTACATTAACAAAGGCACGAGGGGTTGGTTGCACTCGATTGGGAAACCGATTCGCATAAATCCGTGATGCATCCGGGAGCATTTTGTAAAGACTGCCCCCCCGTAAATAAGAATCATGTCCACAAGTTCAGCATTTTCGTAAACATGTGCCATTTTTGATTTCGTTTGAGGCACGCAACACACTACTATTCACTCAGGATTTATCGACTGACGAAAAACATCGTGATAAACGTTTCAAATTCTTTCGCTTTTTTGTTTCCGATGCGATGAACCGGTCAGGCGGATTATATCCGTTGTCGCCAAACACGAGCATATAATAGGCAGGGCGGTACTCAAACTTCCAAAGGGCTATAACTTTGTTACTTTAATTTTACCAGAAAAATGGTAAAGGAAAAAAACATTTCTTTTGATCAGATCTACTCACTGTTAAAATAAATGACTCAACTTCGAAGTCACCCTGTATATGGCGACATTCACCAAATGCCATGTCCAAGAAAATCAACTGTCTAAAACATCCACATAGGTCTTTAAGCAAAGTAAAGCTCACTAAATACTGTATCGTCAGTCGCTCATGCAAATGTAGGTCGCCTTTATGGCCTCCTTGATTCTCATAGTATTTTCTCTCCTTCAAAAAGCTGGGGTATTTATAGAGTTCTACTGTTCCGTACCAGCGTCAGCCCTCTTCTATTAATTGTGAGGTTAAATTTTCTTTTTGAATCTTAAGATATTCCAGGCTGACAAAGCGATAAGGTAGATAAACATTTATTAACCTTAAATTTCTTCAAAAAGTAAATACGAGCCCCTTCCCACTTCAGTTGGCCCAACTATTGAAATCTTAGTTTTTTCTTATCAAACACAAATAATAAAAATGTAGCAGGGTGTTATAGGTTTAAAATATTAACAATGAATATTTTGATAATATATATAGAAAACACCAACTTTATCACTCCCTAATCAAATTTGCAGCATAAAAATAACACATGTTGCAATTACAGCATATCAACCTATTTTCATTTCAAAGCAAAATAAGTCTATGACGCATAGGTGGCTGTGAAAAATAAAAGCCATGACAATTGTTTTTATTAATCACAGCTGTCAGAATACGTTTAAAATAGTTTTGGGTAGGTTTTCAAAATGGGTAGAGGAAAGGTTACTAGTGAGAAAATTCGGTTACTGATAATTAAATTTTTTCATTTTGGGAAATCAAACTCAGAAATTGCAACTTTGTTAGACTTATCGCGGTACAGTGTGAGAAATATTGCTAGAAGATATAACGTAACTGGTTCAGTTAATATTAAGCCACGATATGTGAAAAAACTAATATCACAAATGCCGACCGAAGAGCATTAAGAAGAATAATCGTGAAAAATAGGCGTGCCAATTATTTACAATTAAGTGCTCTGCGGAGTGACGCTGTTGGAAGGAGAATTTCGAGGCCCACAAACTGGGATTTAGCACTTGCAAGGTAAGTTTTCTTATAAAAAAGTGAAGTAAAAACCCTAAAGTTGCACAACTTGTTTATATGCCAAAGAAAAGACACTATTAACTCCACTGCAAAAGAAAAATCGGCTTAGATGGGCTAAAGAACATAGACAATGGACACCTCAACAATGGTGTGCAATACAATGGAGTGATGAGGCCCGATTCGAAGTTTGTGTTGGTGACAGTCGCAGTAGAGTTATTCGCAAAAAAATGAAGCATTCCATGTTGACTGTCTGAAGAGAAAAGTGAAATTTCCAGCATCCGTTATGGTCTGGGGCAGTATGTCATCAAGAGGAGTAGGAAAACTTCATTTTATTGATGGAAATGTGGATACAAACAAATATTTGGCAATTTTAGAAGAATCGCTTTTACCAGTGATGGAAGAATGTTTGACATCCGGCCAGGATTTTGTGTTTCAGCAAGACGGTGCAGCATGCCATACCTCAAAATAGACTATAAAATGGATGGAAGAAAATAATGTACCACTTTTGAAATGGGTTTCTAGCAGTCCAGATCTGTCACCTATTGAAACTTTGTGGCACGAGATGAAAAAGGTTCTACGACAACATCCTGCTCGTACAATCAGCGAACTGAGACAAAAGCTTCAAGAAATATGGGATTGTTTTACACCAAATTTTTGCCAAAACTTGGTTAACACTATGCCCCAAAGAATTTCAGCCGTAATAAAAAATAAAGGTGATGTTACCCAATAGTAATCTTTCAATTGTTGCTTTGTTAACTTCGCGCATTTATTCGCATATTGTTTATTTGTTCAGATGTTCTTTTAGTTATAGGTCTAAGTGATTTCAAATATGTATTTTTTACGACTAGAGTGTATCTAAAATGTTTTTGAGAAAATAAATTGTTTTAGAAGTAAATAGTTTCGTCATGTTTAGTTTATAAAGGCATATTTTGGTACAAATCTTGAAGTGGGCCAACTGAAGTGGGAAGGGGCTCGTATAACCTCAAAGTAGAGCGCCTACACCGAACAGCAGAAATCTAGAAATACCCCTGCCTTTCTCAAATATTAGTCATTGCAATACAATAATTTTACACGAATATATGCCCTCTTATGAGGAATCGGATAGTCTCCTGGGCTTCTCCAATATTAGCCACCCTGTATGTTACTGGGCAAACGCAGGCGTCGTATATTTTCATCGTTATTACGGCCCATGGTTGGTAATTTCACTGATTTTTCTCTTGATTTGATATACTAAGTGACATATAAATCCGAACACCCAGTTTAAATGGTTTTATTTTAATAAAAGTTGGTGAATGTATTTATCTTACTGTAAATAACAAGTGAAACAATTTTCAGCCTTATCAGTTGGACATTCTGGTTTTTATACTGCTTTTTTTTAATTCACTAACGCTCTAAAAATGAATATTTCAGCCGCAGTAAAGAATCAACGTTGGCGGATTTTGGTTCTTGACATCCTTTACGATCGGTTACGATGCCTAGAGTACGGAGACCTGTACGATTTCGTCAACTTAGTGAGTTTGATAGGGGCCGTATAGTGGGACTTCGGGAAGCTGGACTTTCTTTTCGGGCAATTGCAGTTAGAGTGCAAAGAAGTGTAGACACTGTGGTTAGGTGTTGTCAGGCATGGCTTCAAGAAGGCCGTACGCAAAGAGCAAGGGGCACTGGACGCCACCGTAGAACAACAGACCGTGAAGATCGCCGCCTAAGATTATTGGCCTTAAGGGACCGTTTCTCCACTACCAGGTCCATTGAAAATGAATGGTGTTCAGAACACGGAAGACCTATTGGCATGCGAAGTGTTTACCGACGAATGAGAAGTTTTGGCTTGTTTTCATACCGGCCACACTGGGTCCTCCCTTTAACTCGAGAACACCGACGTAATCGCCTTGAGTGGTGCAGGGTTAGAAGGCGACGTGGTGAAAGGAGGAATCCACAGTTTTTTGTTGAAAGACATGTTCATCACACTGTTGGAGTTATGGTTTGGGGTGCTATAACTTATGGTTCCAGGTCACCTTTAATCTTCATCAGAGGTAACATGAACGCGCAGTGTTATATCCACGAAGTTCTAGAACCCCATCTTTTACCCTATCTTGACACCCTGGCAGATCCAACTTTCCAACAAGATAATGCCCGACCACATGTTGCAAGAGTCACAATAGACTTCTTTCAACATAATGATGTCACATTGTTACCATGGCCACCAAGATCTCCCGACTTATGCCCAAATGAGCACGTGTGGGATATGATGGGTAGGAGATTGCTCAATTTGCAACGTCCTCCTCAGACTCTAGAAGCACTTCGAGAGGAGTTGGTGGTTGCCTGGAATGAGATACCACAGGAGGACATTGACCACCTAATCAGAAGCATGCCCAGGCGCGTTGGAGAATGCGTAGCAAATCAGGGTGCATCCACACATTATTAAAGGTCAAAGGGCTTTAAAGCAGTGCAATCATTTTGAAATTTTTATCATTTACTTATTATGCTTCATTAAGTACTTATACAAAATTTTATTAAAATAAAACCATTTAAACTGGGTCTTCGGATTTATATGTCACTTAGTATATAACCGGTGAAGAAACTTTCAAAGTGATCCAAACATTTCCACGGCGATCGATCCAAAGAACTCTGAGGGACAGAGATCTTTTATTACAGTGTATGTCAGTGGTTATCCCGTCAGTTACATTGAAAGGTCCGTTCTTCCAAGCTTAGAAATGTTACCTTGTTGATTATGGCAGTTGCTAGAAGGTCCTCATAAGTTCTATCAGTTTCGTTTGGTGGTAAACTTTGCGTGTCTCTATTCAAATTGGGAAGATTTAGGGCTTCTTTTAACAGCCTTTCGATGATCTGCTTCAAGGTTGCGTGCGCTGAGCAGGGTGACTGGCCAGCTACTGGTAAATCTGAAACAGAGTAGAAGACTATGATGAATTTTATTTTATTTATCTTATCGTTAAAAATAAATATTCGTGGACTTTGGTTTTAACATGTACTTTTCGACGCATTTAACGTTGCTGTCATCCCCAATGGGTGTTTTGTTGGCTGAAATTTGGAAACCCGCGAATACTTTTGTTGGAAAAAAACTAAATGAACCCTAGTTATTTCATATACACAAAGTACCATCTATTACCAGAATCGACCACTCCTCAGCTTCCGTCCGTTGACCACCGAGAGCAAGCCTATATCATGCTGAAGAGTTGCCAAATATCACGAAACAGCTATCCATGATTGGAAATCTGTGTCCGGATAAACGAAAACTATATCACTAGTTTGTTAAATGGAGAGTTAACCATATCTACTATAGCACCAGAATCGGAAGAATCTAGCGGCCACATTGATGACCCGACTGACAGTGCGAACTGGGATACAGTTCCAACAGACACCTTGCTGTTTTCACGTTTGCAGTGATCGATTCTGGTATTAGTCTGTGCCGACACTTGATTTTTAGATCACCATGTTTGTACTCGTATGTAGCGACCCAAATGGTCTGAAAAATCCTGAAAAGTCCTATAAAATTTTCTGGTTTCCTATGCAAAATTTAAAAAACCTATCCATGATCGGTATCATGTAAAAAACTTATAGAACGTCAAAAAAACCTACAAGATGTCATCTTGCAAACTATGTAGTTTTTAGGGCGCAAACAGTCATTCCACGTTTGCTCACTAGGATCGTAGTGAACGTCCATCTAACGAGGAATCACTCAACTAAACGACACGCGTTATTGGTTGCATATATTTTGGGAGACCAAATAGCCATTGTCTGTTGTTTTTAGTTTTTATTTCTGAGAAGCAAGTTGGTTGAATAGCAAGATCGCATCTGAATATTTTTATGTTGTAGTTTCTGAAGAGAGGTTATGTTCAAAGTTAAAAATTACGAAAAATTGAGCAGAATTACGAGAAATCATCACCGCGCCCGCGTTGTGTGCAATTACTGTTAGCATGTATATGGCTTGTAATTCGACAGTGTACAGTGAATATAATTAAATCTTATCTCTCTCATTTTTTAAATTCAGCAAATTTGTATTTGTAATTTCCAGAATGGATAAGAAAAAGTTGATGCGCAACTAATTTCTAGCTTTGAATCTCAATTAAGTGTATTTGAGACAAAAACCCAATATAATTATCATCAACACATACAACTTACAGCTTAGACCTCCAGTAATGCCATCTCAGAAGCAGATTTTACATCACATCAGAGCCAAAGATTGATAACAAGCCTCATGACGTAACACGTACAACTAAGTGCTTAGTTAACATCTTGTAGAAAAACCTACATAATGTCAAAAAAAAACTCGACATATTGTCACTTTTGAAGATACCTGATACCCGTGCCGGGCATTTTACGGGTAATTCGGGAGCGTAGGATCATAGTTCGTCATCAATTTGACGCTAAGCTCCATGGGAGATTCAAAGCGACCCATGTTCTATTTCAAATTTGCTTCCACTTTCGTGAATCTTATCTCAGTTTCTTCGCTGAAATCGTCCCATTTTTGAACACCAACTATGACTTCCCGGTGCTTTAGCATTTGTACCATTGGCCAGGAAGTATTGCAACCGCAAAAAATTCGAAAATGACATTCGTTTTTTGGATCTTATATGACATGTACATAAAAAAGACCACGCCACTCATTTTCGCTGGTCTGTCAATTGTTTGGCAAGTATCGTTCGGATTTTTATACAAGATTACTAATTTGCTAAGCACGAAAAAGCTTTGTGGTGTTTGAAAACCGATACAGTGGCGGTGGAGCTAGGGCAAAACATCAAAAAACGAAATCGTTCAGGCTTCGTTTTTTTACGTTTCGAGAAGCTCTTGATTTTCAAATTATTTGTAGGTGCTAAGGGTGGAAGGTTGTAGGAGGAGGGTGAGAGTATATTTCAATTTCTTGGCATCAATATACTTATTCGCACACGACATAGGTAATTCTACGCACGAATCATAACGCATGTCCCAAAAGCTTTGGCACAAAAAGAGTTGGTTTTAATTTTAACAAACACTAAATAAAATCAAGTTGCCTTTGGAAACAAAGGTTTATTTACTTACTACTGCTGATAAAGTATTTCATTCTGAAATGAAGTGAAACGGCGAATTTCATACGGACAATGTAGATGAATGCTTTAACATTGTTAGATACAAACATCAAGGGAAATTTGCAGATAAAAACCTTGTCTGGTGCGCAATTTCTAACAGGAGTGTATCCCAACCTTTTGCGGGAAGAGACAGGGGTGAAGCTTTGAATAGTCAGAGCTATATATAACTGCCTTTTCAAATTGCTTGTTTGTCCACGAACATCATGATAATGACCTTATCATGTTTTGGCCAGACCTTGCATCATGCCCTTACTCAACACAACATACCTTTTGTTCCTTCTTACTGTATAGGAAGGTTTACCATTGAGGCTGGGAAGCCTAAGATGAAGACCAATTAAGACGACGAATTTACGAAAAACTAAGAGAAATTGAATTCCGTCCAGGACCCTCGTCGCGGTCTTACCGACATGTTTGATGAGCGGCAACGTTAGTCATAGCAACTATGCCAGGTGGTCGGTATTGTTAATAATGCAGGTAGGACATTTCCATGGACCAATTGTATAGGGCTGTTTGACTGACTTGATCTGTTTAATTTTGCCATTATGCATGCTAACATGTTTTTTCAAGGGAGCAAACTTGTAGCGAATATGATCCTTTATGGACTGATGGCAGCGTTGTTTGGAAAGTGGTATTTTGAATTAATAATAATAATAATTTAAATGCCAAATACAATTATAAAAATATAAATTTCAAAGATTGTTGCCACAAAGGAGTATCAATGACAAATAAAAGTAATGCCACGAAATTATCCCAAGGTACCAAATTTCATTCCTTTGTGCAAATGGGAGGAAAAAATGTTACATTCCGAAGGCCTAAACGCGAATAGATTATATCGGACGCAGCCATTGATTTGTGAAAAATTGATGTTTTCGACGTATCTCATCGAAAGCATTCCATTTCGTTTCAAAAAATACTTCTACTGAAACTGCCACAAAGGAAATTGAGGAAAACACACTGAAAGCTGGAAACGAATGATAATTACAACTAATGGTCAATGAAAAGCATCTTCAAGCAATTAATAGTGATACACCCACCTTGAAGAGGTGTCACTATTAGAACAACCTTTTTTTGAGAGAAAAGGAAGAATAAAGGAACAAATGTCATTAGAACTGTTGTATGAAAAATATGTGATAATGCTTGGTAAAAATGACAACTATGGCGGTTTGCTAGCTTTGCAGTGTTGCCATTTTTTATCTCTATTATATGTATACAGCCAGATAACATGATATGCACGTAAAATATCTTACCTAAAATGACGTCGATGACATAGTAGTACAAATACAAAGCTGCGCTGAATAAAACCCATAATGTTACTAAAACACTCACTAACACTGTAAAAAACATATTTGCACTATGCCGGGACGTAGAAAATTTGCCTTCAAGGATCACAGTTACTGTTATCTATTTTCGGAAGATTAACTGGAGATTAGATGTATGTCGGCATAATTTCAGGTTATCTTTAAAGATGGTTTTGTCTATGTCTCCATACTTTTTTCAAATGGTGTGTGCACTCTAGCGAGTGTGAACAATAGAGTGTGGCTTATCATCTTGTAAATAAATTACTAATTTTATAATTCGCAACACATATTGCTATTTATAGTCCAGGAAATGTAAATAAGCTAGTCGAGTCTGCAATAACAAAAGTACGTTTGACAAAGAGTAACATCATCGGACTGATAGCGGAATATAAGCTCCACTGTCATTATTTTCATATCAAATACAAATACAATTCAAATTATTTCAAACTTTATAATGACTAAATTTTTGTTATTTTCATTGATGTCTCACCACCATGGATTAATTTTACTATCCTTGGACTATTTTATTAACCATTTTTTTCTTTTTAATGGAAAATTGCATTTTAGGGATTCCCATAAGTCATTTACTATTTTCTCGTTTTATTTCAAAATCTCCAAATTGAGGGTGGGTTCCATACGAACGCGAGAGATTTCCAGATAATCTGGGACACCCTGTAAAACCATAAAATAACGAAAACAGGTATTTAACATTTTCGTTAATGGTTGTTTATTTTTAAACAATGAACTCAGCCGTGTCTTTATCGCTTGAAGCAATAAACATTTTGATAACGCTCAATGATATCGTTAGACTTCGTGTGTGCTTCCAATATTAATAGAATTTTCGGTTGAACTAAATTAGCGTTCAAGCATTCCATGAATTTTTTCAACTAATAATTTGTATTACTTGCTTAGGTTTATTGCACTTATGCACGTACATTTAACAGGAACTCAGGAACCAATAAGTACTGCATTTTGTGTGTTTCAATTGTTTCTCTCGGCAGGTTCTTTGGATCAATCTGAGCAAAAAAGGTCCTTCGTAACTATACTCTAAAGTTTATTTTTTCGAGATTTACATCCCGAAAAACCCTAAGAATACCCAATCTCAGAGCTTTAAACTCTAAACTGCTGTCTTGATCGGGTCTAAAAGCCGTCGTCGGTTGGAATTTCTTCCTAACGTTTCGCTAGCACGAGTGGCAAGCTTCTTCAGAGGTCCTTCCATTTGCGATGCTGGATGTAGACTGACGATTTCTCTTGCGCAGGTTGTATTTATACCGGAGGGTAGGTGATGTGGCTTGTTGCGCTTCGGTTGACTTCGGGATGTCGATCGGCACTCCTCGGGCGTTTCTGAGGATGGGGTGCCAGAACGTCCCCTACCCTCCAGTATAAATACAACCTGCACAAGAGACATTGCTGCTCTAGAGATGAAGCTACTCCGGATCGCCACCAGTGCACCATTCTACGTAAGAAACTCAACCTTACGTAGAGACCTGCATTGGGACACCATCCACGAGTACATGA